ATATAGGGTAAATTCTTAGTATTGCTGGGTCAAAGAATAATTTCATAAGTTGCCAAAATATCCTCTGCTGGAAGTGGTATCGGTTTACATCCTACCAACAATGTACTGGAATATCTAATTCCCCACATCTTTGTAAACTCAGCCTTGCTAAGTGTTTGGATTTTTGCCAATCTGATAGAAAGAAAACAAGGATATAATTTTAATTTGCTCTTTTCATATATGAGTGAAGTTGAGCATACTTTCTTAAGTTTCAGAGCCATATTTCCTTTATGTGAGCCATCTGTTCTCATCATTTGCCCATTTTTCTGTCGATACGTATTTTTTCTGCTTTACATATCTGTTACTGAAAGAAGTGTGTTAAAAAATCATAATATGGTAATACTTGTTAAGACATTATTCTGTTAACTTGCTTTATATAAATCTTACTGGTGAACTTTTTTTTTTTTTTTGAGTTTATTTATTTTATTATTGTGCAGTGGTTGTTTTATCCCTAATGGCTTTTACTTTCCTTTTGTCTTAAGTAAATATAGTACATTTTTTTTGTTTTTGTTTTTATGATTAGTATTTATCTGGTATAGCTTTTGCCATTCCATTACTTTAAATTGTACTCTAGCCTTTTATTTTCTGTTCTCTTGTAATCAGCATAAACCTGGATTTTCTTTTTTATCCAATCTGATTTTTTTAACTGGACTGTTTATTTAGTATGTTCACATTTATTATAATTATTTATATATTTTGATTAATTTCTACTGTCTTTTAATATTTTTCCCTCAGAAAGGACCTATTAGTGGTTAATTTCTATTAGTGACTAAATATTTGTTTTACAAAGTGTGATTTTTTTTTTTTTTATCTCTCAAATACTGTCTTTGCAGAGTGTACACTTCTACTTGAGAGCTTTCTCAATACTTTGAAGATATTATTCTGTCTTCTGGAATCTTAAAAGGAGCTCTGGTGTGTAGTTCCTAAGGCATTTGACTGCTAACCAGAAGACTGGTGGTTCAAACCCACCAGCTACTCCACAGAAGGAAGACAGGGTAATCTACTTCCATAAAGATTTGCCACCTCAGAAACCCAGTGGGGGCTGGGGTTGCTATGAGTCAGAGTCAACGTGATGGCTGTGGGTTTGGTTTTTTTGGGTTTGGAGTCTCAAAGCAATCTTGTCATCTCTTTTCTGAAAACCTCAGTGATTTTGAACACCAACTAATTTTTTGTTCTTTTAATTGTGATTTGGGTGAAAGTTTACAGAGCAAATTCATTTTCCATACGGCAGCTCACATACACTTTGTCTCATGACATTGAGTGCAATTTCACAATGCAACAGCTCCCCTCCCACTTCCTCCCGATAGTTACCTCTTCCCTGTGTCCTTCCCTCCTCCCATGCACTCCTGCCTCTGACCTGTCACCCTGTGCAATAACAGCCCTTCTCTTCTCCCATGATTGATCTCTCCAAGGAGTGTATCTCCCTAATGTAAATGTTTGACTCATATGCCTGTCTTTGGTTTGGCTGGAAGCCACAGGAGTGGGTTCAATTCCAGAAGAACAGCTAGGGGCCATAGTCTCAGGGGTTCCACTGGGCTCTATCAGACCAGCAAACGTGGTCCTTTTTTTTTTTAATTGATAATTTTGAGTTTTATTCCTCATTGTTCTCCCACTCTATCTAGGATCTCCTACATGTATCCCTCTCTGAGTGGTTGACAGTGTTAGCCAGCACCATCTAGTTCTTCTGGTCTCATAGTCATGGTGTACCAGTCCCTTGGACTAATTGTTTCCGTGTGTCTTTGGTTTTCTTCATTATCCTTTGCTCTGGATGAGGAGAGACCCATCATTGCATCTAGATGGCCGCTTGCAAGTTTTTAAGATTCAGTCGCTACTCACCAAAGTAGGATGTGGAATAATGTTTTTGTGTAGTATGTTATGCCATTTGAGCTTGATGACCCCTGAAACAATGGTCCTGAGCCCACAAGTACAACTACTCACTCCCTCTGGTTAGCTGACTGTGACCAAGAAGTGACCACAACCTTGTCTTCTTCTGGGATTCTTGCAACTGCCATCCAGGAGGCAAGAGAACAGAAGAAGTCGAAACTCATCTGGGGGAATTTTAAAAGCCAGACCTGGAAAACACAACACACTGCTGTCAAGTCGGATCCGACTCATAGCAACCCCTCCTTGGGTTTCTGAGGGGGTAGCACTACAGAAGTACATTGCCCAACCTTCCTGCCAGGGTGGCTGGTAGGTTTAAACCACCAGCCTTCTGGTTAGTAGTCAAATGCCTTAGGCACTACACCACCAGAGCTCCCAGACTTGGAAGTGGCATAAATTATTTCCCTTCATTTTGTATTGATCATATTCTGTGGCTGTATTTAACTCTGGTCTAGCTAAGTGTTCTAGAGGAAAGAGAAGTGGGTTTGATGAATAACTACTAGCTTGTGCCATTCATATTTTGCTTACAATGTTTTACAAAATTTGGACTTTGATTAGCTTCACCTTATATTGCTCAGCTTCTCCTCTTGTAATGTTCTTGGCCTTTGCTCTTAACACTCTAGTTGATTAGGCACCCATTGGTTCCCCCAACTGTGCATGCTAGTGTCCTTTCCCTTTCATGGCCCTTTATGTACTTTCCTGGGAATGCTTTACTTCCCTTCCCCACTTAGTTCTTGCCTTATCCTTCAGATCTTAATAAAACATTACTTCCTCAGGGTGTCCATCCATTTACCCTCAGACCAGATTAGATTATTGTTAAATATGCTCATAGTCCTGCAAAAGGGACAAGGAGACAGCATCTTCCGACCTCTAACTAGACAAGAGGAGGACAGAATCACCATCAGCAGCCCAATGCCTACTCCTATAAGGCCAGATATGCTGCAACTCTCCAGTCCTTTTACTAACCTTGACACAAACTGTTCTCTCGCAGCACCCACCACCTATCTGTTGGGTTTGATAATTCTCTGCAGTGGCTACACAGAACTCACAGATTATGGGGGTTATTAGGGAAGCAACAGGCTACAATTCAAGTTCAGGAACACCCTCAGTCTCTCTCAACTGGCTGTCTCTCTCTGTCTCTCTCAGCAGTGTGTCTCTCGCATCTTTCTCTCTCAGCAGCACGTCTTTCTCAGCGAGCAGTCAGAGAGACTCCTGCCTCTAGGAAGGCTCCTTTTGAGCCTGGCAGAGTGGCAAAACTAATCATTCCCAACATCAGAATTCTATATACACCTGAGAGAGAGCAAACTTCCCAGAAGATTGCTTCATGCTGCTCCAACAGAAGTACACCAGGTGGATAACTTTAACAATCAGGAGCTACTCAGTTGCTGATGGCATATTCCACCATGGAGTTTACAAAGACTATGGCTATAAAAGCCATACTATGTAATTTACTGCACCACAAGTGGGGACTATTTTCCTTTGTGTTCTTATCTTTGTTCGTACTACAGTTCCACAGTCCCTTCTCTTTGATTCTGAAATCCAGAAAACTCTAAAGACCTAAAGATTTTTATTTTTTAAATAAATTTTCATGATGAAGAATACTTACCTAAATTGACAGGAGTTTGCCAGTGTCTTTTTTTAAGGCACTTAAGGCTATTCATGTCACTTGTAGAACATTACTGAGTTTGATTAGGGAGTGCTGTCCTAGTCCTCACTGGGGCTGTTAAGTATTCTGAATTTAAACATAACTGGTCCTAAAGATTTGGTTAAGGGATAGTAGACCTATAATTAAAAACCAAACTCACTGCCATCGAGTCGTTCCTGACTCATAGTGACCCCCCCCCCCCTTGGGTTTCTGAGGCAGTATCTCTATGGAAATAGATTGCTCAATCTTTCTTCCAAGGAGTGGCTGGAAGTTTTGAACTGCCAGCCTCTGGTTAGTAGTCAGGTGCCTTAGGCACTACTCCACCAGAGCTCCCAGATCTATAATACATTTCTTTTCTTTCTTTCTTTCCTTTTTTTTTTTTTTTAAATCTTTATTGTGATTTGGATGAAAGTTTACAGAGCAAATGCATTTTCCATACAGTAGTTCATACACATTTTGCCCCATGACATTGACTGCAATTTCCCACAGTGTAACAGCTCTCTTCCCACTTCCTCCCTATAGTTACCTCTTTCCTGTGTCCTTCCCTCCCATGCACTATCCCCCCCCCCAGCTGTGTCCCTGTGCATACACTGCCCTTCTGTTCTCCGACAATTGATCACTCCAAGGATCAATATGCCTATCTTTTATTTGGCTGGAAGGCACAGGTATGAGTTAAATTCCAGACCTGAAGGGCAGCTAGAGGCCATAGTCTCAGGGGTCTCACCAGGCTCTATCACTCTTTCAGACCAGCAAACCTGTTTTTTTATTATTATTATTCTTTTCGTGATTTTGAGTTTTGTTCCACATTATTTTCCCACTCTATCCAAGATCTCCTACACAGATCCACCTGTCAGTGGTTGACAGTGGTAGCTGGGCACCATCTAGTTCTTTTGGTCTCATGGTCATAAAGGCTGAGAATCACATGGACATGGTGTACCAGTCCCTTGGACTAATTGTATCCATGTGTCTTTGGTTTTCTTCATTCTTCTTTGCTCTGAATGAGGAGAGGCCCATCGTTGCATCTAGATGGCCTCTTGCAAGCTTTTAAGATTTCAGTTGCTACTCACCTAAGTAGGATGTGGAACGATATAATACATTTCTTTGGATGATTATTTGTTCAGTATGTGTCTCTCTCACTTGACTATGAGGCCCTTGATTCAAAGACCATGTTCTATTTTTACTCACCATTTTTACCCTCATTGCTTAAATCGGCATAGTTTACCCTCATTGCTTAAATCGGCATAGAGTAAACCATTTATAAATATTTGTGGAATGAATAAATGAATTTGTTTACTTCAACTCGGGCTATGGGAATCAAATATAATAAATAAATTCTATGAATTCATTAAATACTATAAAATAATAAAAATATTACGTACAATAGGATATTGATTGGCCTAAGGAAATTTCTTTCTCATTGTTTTATTTATTTCAGATGATTCATTGGAAAAATTACCTGTATCTAGAAATTGTCAACTTGGTCCACATCAGCAGAAGTCTAACTCCCTGAAACCCCTCTCCATGTCACAGCTGAAGCAATGGAAACATTTTTCTGCAGATCATCTAAACCTTCCAGATCCTTTTCTTGAAAGAATAAGAGAAAATGTGTCATTTTTTTTCCAGAATATAACTAATCAAGCTACTGCTATGTAATGAAAGAAGATTACTTCATGCCATTCCCTTGGGAACTCCCCCAGGGAAATTAAATTGATACATATATATTTAATGTAATTTTTGAAAATTAATGGAAGTATTCACATTAGAATACTGTTTTATTGTAAAATGTATCATAGTTTTGATACAATAGCCAAAATTGAATTGTTTAATTTTTTGTATTTTAAATGATGAACCATTAAAGAAGTGCTTTTATCATCATACAATTGTTAATTATTAATAATTTCATGACTAATATGCTTTATTAAGTACCTATTAAGGGATTTTTGTGGAGTCCCTAGTTGGCAGTTTGAATCTACGCAGAGGCCTCAGAAGAAGGGCCTGGCAGTCTACTTCTAGAAGGTCACAGCCGTTAAGAGCCAAACTTTGAGACTCATGGGGTCACCGTCATGTGGAATTGACTTGATGGAGTGCTAAAATGGCAAGGGGGCCACATGTTCTGACCTCCTCTAATCCCACAAGAGGAAGACAGGATTACCAGCAGTAACCCAAGGCCTATTACTGCAAGGCCAGACATGCTGCCTCCCTCCAGCCCTTTCTCAACCGTTCCTCCCAAAGCACCCACCACCTCTCTCCTGGGTTCAATAATTCGCTGCAGTGGCCACAAAGAGCTCACAGATTATGGGGTTTATTAGGGAAGCACCACAGGCTACAATTCAAGTTCAGGAAAAATGCTCAGTCTCTCTCCCAGCCCACCATCCCTTGGCCAACAGTCTCTCACAGTCTCTTTCCCAGCAGTGCTGGTCCCTTGGTGTCTCACTCAGCAATGCGTGTCTCTTGCGTCTCTTTCCCAGCAACACGTGTCTCAGGAGCCCGTGTCTCTTTCAGCAGCACGTCTTCCTCAACCAGCAGTCAGAGAGAGTTCTGCCTCTAGGAGGCCTCCTTTTGAGCCTGGCAGGGTGGTCAAACTAGCCAATCATAGCATCAGAACTCAAAGCACCTGAGAGAGAGTGGGAACCTCCCAGAACATTGTATTGTGCCACACCCAACAGGAATAACCCAGGTGGATAGCTTCAGCAATCAGGAGCTCCTCAGTTGCTCATAGAAAATCCCGCCTTGGAGTTTACAAAGACTTATGTGTAGAAAAGCCACACGAAGTAATTTACTACACTGCATGGAGGTTTTTGTTTCTTTTAAGGAATTTTTGTAAGGAATGAAAAAAGATAGAAGTACCTAGTCTCTGCCTTTGGTAAATCTTATCTGATGGGAATATTAGATACAGATGTGAGAGACAACTGGAAAATTTACTGAATTTAAACCACAGCTCAAGGGAGAGAGAAATCAGAGACTAAGAAATGAGAAACTGAAGCTGTTGGATATAACAATGTTGCAGGGCAGTTTGACTGAGAAAGGTCAGTAGACTGGGCAAGATCAGGAACTCTGGGACACTTCAGAGTACTTGTTCCTCAGAGTATCTGGGGATACTCATGGCAGGTTTGTGCACAGTCTAAATCTGCCTGCCAAACACTGCTTTTACACTGAATCAAAGGTCAGCTGCTATCATGTCAAGGTTGTCTGTAATGATACTTGACACTGAAAGAGAGTGCTAACGTGTAACATGGATAAACTTGGAGGACATCATGCTGAGTGAAGTAAGTCAGTCACAGAAGCACAAATACAGAATTGGTTCATTATTGTAAAAAGTCAAGGAAAGGTTTATATATGGAAGGAAACTTTTTTTGTTGGTTACCAGGGGTGGGAGGGGAGGGAGAGGGAAGGGAACACTGGGGGAAAAACAATGCATTGACCTATGTCACTTTAGTTTTGTGTATTTTGCTATACATAAATTATACTTCAATAAAATGTATTGTTTTAAAAAAAGAGAGCATGCTAACATATAAACCAAGTTTTATAAGAGTAAAGTGTGCAGAGGGGAAGGAATTACCCATTTATTTTCTACCTGGGGCTTCCTGTAATCAACTTTTGCTTCCACTTAGGAAAGTTTCTTTTGGACTGAATACTGTCTTGAGGTGTTCAATAAACACTCAGTTATATATCGTCAGATCTGAATACTTTAGATTTCTGATGCCATACATCTGGGTAGTTGTACATAGAGGATTCATGAACAGGCAGTTTGGACCAAATTCGACAGTAAAGAATTAGTGAACTAGTAAGTAAAAATGGTAGTTTTTGGCCCCATGCCTGTAACCTGTCATCAAGTCGATCCCGCCTCATGGCAACCCGTGTGTGCAGAGAAGAACTACTACACAGGGTTTTCAAAGCTGTGACCTTTCAGAAGCACATTGCTTAGCTCTTTTTCCCGTGACACTGCTGGGTGAATTCAAACCGCCAGTCTTTCAGTTAGCAGATGATTGCGGACTGCTAGTACCACCCCGGGACCTTTAGACCCCATAGGAGGCTTTAAATAAAAATTCTTTCAATATCTATCTTATATTACATTATTCTCAGGTGTAACGTCCTTTTAAAAAAATAATCAGGGAAAAGCAGCTTTTGTTGTTTATACTAACTGTAATGGATGCTAGGGCGGTCTTCCAGATTGCCCCCTTCAGGACCAGGGCATTCATTTCCCTACCTGCTAGGAGTATTGCCTACTGACCATCATAGCCAAGTCTCTCTTCAAGAATAGCCCTCAGCTGAAAGGAGCTGCCTTGCTTAAGTTTAAATCCCTTCCTGAGTGGCTAGTGACTTGTAGGTGGTGACATATAAAGGCCTAGCTGTCCCACCTCAATTTGGTACAACTCTGCAGGACCATTCCAGCTCCAGAGCTCCCTGGGAAATCTGATGAGGCCTTCACTGCAACAGCATTTCAGTTCAGCTTCTCCCTCTGTTCAGTCCTGTTTCCCTCACTCCCACATAGGTGGTGTCGTTCATAAAAGCAATCAACAAACTCCCCGTATGCAGATCTATCTCAGTCTGTTTCCCAGGAAATCTGACCTAATACACTATCCACAGGGGTGTCACCAAGAAAAAGCATTTTAGTAATTGATAACATTAATTGTCAATACTTTTGGCAGAATGACCATTTAATGGAATGAGGTGATAATGCTGAAGAAAAAAAAAAAATGACAGGTTTTGCCTTACACCACGTTTTAAAAATTGGTAATGCAAGAAAGAATCACAACTTGTTCTAACTGTTGATGCCTACTGAGTGGTTTTTTTGTCCAAGGCATTGAGATGCCATGATTATTGAAAGAAAAAGTTATCGTAATGTTTCCCTTGCCTGCTTCCCATCAGCCTCAACCTAAAACTCTTGGCCACATCCCCTAGCACTCAGGGCCTCCATCCAATGGCTCTCCAGTTCACAAAAGCAATGAACACTTTTCCGTCTTTATCTTGACTCTGTTCACATTAGATATTGGTGATCAATTACTTCCTGAGGCTCTTGCCTTCATTAACTTTGATTAAATGATTACATTTATTCAGTCATTGTTGTTGTTGTTATGTGCTGTCGAGTCAGCCCTGACTCATAGTGACCCCTCCTTGGGTTTCCGAGGCAGTATCACTACAGAAGTAGGATTGCCCAACCTTCCTTCCGAGGAGTGGCTGGTGGGTTTGAACCGCCAGCCTTCTGGTTAGCAGTCAAGTGCCTTAGCCACTATGCTACCAGAGCTCCCTCAGTACAGATCACTTATTGAGCACCTCATACATGTTTGACATAGTTCTAGGTGCTATGCCTGAAGCAATGAATAAAGCAGGCAAAACTTCTGCCCTCACGGTGCTTGCATTCTAGGACACAGAGAGCACATCTATGTGATATATGATGCTAAGTGCTATTAAGAAAAATTAAAGTGGGGGTTGGGGTTTCTATTTACATAGGGTGGATTTATGCAGGGACTTGAAACAAGTGAAGATCAAGAGCCGTGACATTGTCTGGGGAAAATATTCCAGACACTCTGTGTCATTGAAGACCATTGTGAGGGCTTTAGCTTTTGCTCTTGAATGAGAGGGAGCTCTGGTAGCGTGGTGCCTAAGGCATTTGACTGCTAATCAGAAGGCTGGTGGTTCAAACCCATCAGCCACTCCTCTGAAGGAAGGTTGGGCAATCCTACTTCCGTAGTGATACTGCCTCGGAAACCCAAGAAGGGGTCGTTATGAGTCGGGGCTGACTCGATGGCAAATAACAACAACAACAACTGCCTTGGAAACCCAAGGAGAGGTCGCCATGAGTCGGGTCCGACTCAATGGCACATAACAATGGCACATAACAACAACAACTTGAATGAGATGGAGAACCATTGTAATTTGAACTGAGGAATGACGTGATTTTAAAAGAATTACCCTTACTCTGATGAGAATAGATTGGTGGAACATGGAGTAGAAATAATGAGATTAGTTTGGAAGCTATTGCAGTGAATGCGGGGAAGAAATGATGGTGACTTAGAGCAGGTGATAGAGAAAGTGTTAAAGTGATAGCAGATTCTGGATATCTTTGAAGACAGACAGACAAGATTTTCCATGGATTGAATGTAGAGTATAAGAAAATGAGAAAAATCAAGAATGGATCCAAGAAAGTGAATTTGCTCTGTAAACTTACACCCAAATCACAAAAGTTAAAAAAAAAAAAAAAAAATCCAAGGTTTTTGGCTTGAGCAAGTGGAGGAATGGAGTTGCTAATTCCTGATAAAGGATGTGGGAGGACAAGTTTCTGAAGAGAAAGCAGAAGTTGAGTTTTGATTGTATTAGGTGTGTATGCCGCCAGACATCCAAGTAGAGGTGTCAAATAAGTAGTTTGATCCATGAGTCAAGTTCAGAAGGATTGGTCAAGGCTAGAGGTAAATATGAGAGTCAACAGCATATTACCAGTTGCCATTGAGTTGAATCCAACTCAATGGTGACCCCATGTGTTGCAGAGTAGAACTGTGCTCCATAGGGTTTTCATGGTTGTGACTTATTGGAAGCAGATGGCCAGTCATTTCTTCTGAGGCACCTCTGGGTAGGTATAAACCATCAGCTTTCAGTTAGTTCGGCATATATACTCATTGCTGTAGAGTCAATAGCAACTCATAGCAACCCTGTTG